AAAAGCAGCCCCAGAGCCATGGCACGCCAAAAAGCTGCTTTGCAAAAAGCTCCTGGGCGGGGTGGGGCTTCGCATTGCAAAAAAAAAAAAAAAAAAAGCCAAAAACAGCCCCTGAGCTGCAGTGCACCAAAATGCCCCTTTGCTTCCCGTGGGGGTGCTGCAACAGCTGTAACTTTGAGCATGGGTCATAAGTCCCTTCATTCAGAGCTGTCGTAACTTTGAACGGTCGCTGAACAAGTGGTCGAAAGTCAAGGACTACCTGTACTCATCCAAATATGGAGAACAGCAGAAGAAGCTTAACAAAGATCTTGGCAGTGTGGAAAGGCCTGGTATGAGGGAAAGTTGCAGGAATAATATGTACTGATTTCAGTCAAATGATCCCCTATGATATTCTGGTTGAGTATGACTAGATGGCATGCAAATAACTTGAAGAAAAATGGGTCTTCAAATTAACTTTTCAAATGGTTCAAATTTTATAATAGGTTACCTTTTTCATAATAAAATGCACTAGTTATTTATAGGTTACCTTTTTCATAATAAAATGCACTAGTTATTTTGGGTAGGGACGGGCAATATGCAGTTCCCTGGATGCTGTTGAATCAATTCAACCAACGTGGCAAACAGCGAAGCTCTCCTGAGCTGGAGGCTGCGACAGCTGGAGGGCCACAAACCCTCCCCTCCCTCTGAACAACCCTCTGTTGCCACTGAAATTAAGTCACCAAGGATGTGGTCAGTGTCTGAATAGGAAAGCAGAAAGACCCCAAAGCTTTCTCCAAGGCTTCCTTTTCAAACTTCTCTAAACATAAATTTAAATGCATCTAAATGGAATAATTTGAAATATATATTTGCCATATGTATGAAACTGATACCCTACTTTTTCAGAATTCTGGGATAGATTACGGAGATGTTTCTTCTAGAAAAGAACTAAGGAAGAGGCTGAACTGCAAAAGCTTTGATTGGTACATCAAAAATGTGTATCCTAACTTGGTCCCTCAGATTACCATTGTAGGCTATGGAACAGTAAGTAAAAGCGGGTGAGATGATATATTGTCTGCTTCGGGGGCACTCAATCGACTCTTTATTACGGCCAACGACCAGCATAAGGAGGGTGGGGTACAGTCAATTAGAAAGCATAGGAAATACCTCAGAGTCTAAAATAATAACAGTTATAATTATGAAAAGCGAAAAGATATAAAACAGAAAGTACAGTATCTATCTAAAAGGAATCTAAAAGGAGGGCTGGGAGCATTCGATGGATGTAAGGGAGCCTAAAGGTTAGCCTGTGGCAGACTGTATCTGAAGGGCATTATTTTAATATATGATTTTATATTCTATATATATATTTCACATGGTGTATAAGCATGCATGTAGTGGTGCACTCTATCTTACTTAGAAAGGGTTAACTTGCTTTGTAAAGAGCACAGCGTTTCTTTCCCCCCCACCTTATCTCTTTGTTGAATGCCTGATTGTCTTCGAAGAAGCAATTAGCTTGGTACAAGCTTGGTAAAAGTTGCAAAGACAGGGGCCCTGCATTCCAGAGAGAGATAAGGAGGTAGGCATTTCTTTGGTGACAAGAGAAGAGAGTTGAGCTAACTTTCTTTCTGAGATCTACCTTTACTCCTCCCTAGACCATCCCTGTATTTCCTTGTATGGACATGAGGGGATGTACGATCTGATTACATTTGTAAATGCCTATAAAATCTCTGTTGTTTGCTTTGCAAGGGGTGGTTCTCCTCAACACCTTGCCACGGTGTTGACTGAGCCATCCAGAATGTTTCTTTGCCCATAAAACTTCTGTTAGCTAAAAAGCCTCGTCTCAAGTTCTATCTGGCTCTTGGAACTTGGGTAAACAAATGAACAAAGGCGTGTGCCTAACATATCTATCAAATTACAGAGCGCTCTAGTATGATGAACTAGACGCTCGTTAAGACTGGTTTGTGGCACAGGTCATCCTCTGATGAATTTTAATCGCTGCTGCGCAGAACCTGGCAACTTTATATGTTGTAGCAGGGTCGGAATCTGAAAGCAGCAGGGTGCTTCTGGGGCAAACAGCACATAACTTCATTTGAGCCCCCCCCCTTTTTTTTTTGCCTTAAAGGCTCTGCCAAGCTGGCTAGCTTGCTTGCTTTATTTATATATTTAGATTTATTTCAGTTAATATGGCCACCAAAGCATCTCTGAGTGGCAAACAAATGTAAAAAACTACAATGTAAGTACTAATAACAAAACGAATCAAATGTAATCAAAACCAAATAGCTCCAAACAATAAACACCCGCAGACTCCATGCAAATGTGTTTGTGTGTTCTGTGTGCACACTTGAATGATTACTTAAATCTGCAATTTGTTTATTTGTTTCTGGAGTTCTTGGTGCTCTCTGAGCTTGGTTGATTGCTTGCAGGTATTTCATTACCCAACCAGGTAAATAAGTGTGTGTGTGTGTGTGTGTATTTTGTATACTTGTATTGCATGCACAGAAAGAAACCTCTAACAAAAACAAGTCCCAAAGCCAAAAAGGCAGCCCAAGTCGCCGTCGGTGCTGGAATGCTCTACGTGTCACAATATTAAAACGGCCTTGCAAGAGACTAAAACCTTGGAGCTCCGCCCTCTCGAGAGGGGGCAGGCTGTTGTATGGGGGGCCCTTCATGGAGAAAGACCTCCGCTAGGCTCTCGTCATCCCTTCTCCTCTCTCAGGTAGAGCCTGGCTGGGAGAGATGATCCTGCAGCCATGTCCTGAGGGCCCTTTAGGCTAATGAGCTCAACGCTTTGAGCTGGCCCAGAGACTGCAGCGTTGATGTCAATGGTTGAGACTTTCTCCCCTCTATAAGCAAGTGAATCGCAGCTACTGAGTTGCCTCCAAAGACTGCTCCATGTAGAGTGTGTGGCAGTAGTCTAACAGAATCCTGTCCCTGCTAGCATGTACACACTCAGGCAAGAAAGGTCAGGTTAATTTTTCATGGATAAGGGCAAGACAGAAGGAAGCAGCGCCCTCTTTTTCTAGGCCTTGGCATCAAATGAAACAGTAACAGAGATGAATTCCTGTTCCTTTCTACGGTGGTATTGTATTTGTTATCCATATTTTATTTATACCATTTATTTACTGTAAACTTCTTTGAGCTTTTTTTAAGGAAAGCAGTATACAAATGTTTAAAATCGAGTGATCACTTTTCTAGTTTATATACAAAAGGAATACAGGTAGTCCTCACTTAGCTACCACAAGTGGGACCAGCAACTCTGACACTAAGTGATGTGGTTATTAAGCAAGACATCATGTGACTGTGACAGGCTTATGGGCTTACGGCCTCACTTCTGCCACAGTCGTTAAGCAAATCACCCATGGTCATTAAGTGAGACATCGCATGATCACGACTTGCGATTTCACTGCCAGCTGCTCCATTTACTGTTTGTCAGAAGCCAGCTGTGAAGCTTGCAAATGGCGATCATGTGATCCCAGGGATGCTGTGACAGTCATAAGTGCGAGTCGCAGTCATAAAGTTACTTTTTCAGTGCCATCGTAACTTTAAATGGTCACTAAACAGGGCAGCCATTACATGAGGACTACCTGTAAAGCAACCGTAGCTGATAGAAGCAGCCATGCCAAGGAAAGCCTCGTATTCTGAATGCAGAAACTTAGAAAGGTTGTGTTCCTTAAGTGGGAAAACGACCTGACTTGCCCCCAATGAAGACCTATTCCCTCTGCTCCCAGCATTTCCCCTTCATTGAGCCAACCCTCAGGCTGCCAGGTTCTGGGAATTTTGTTCAGGAACACTATTCACATGTTGGAATTTCCAAAAAATACCTTATACCTCCCTATATTTTTGGGAGATACATCCATTTTTGTCATATATGTCAATTTATTTTAAAAAATGCCCACAAAATCAGGTAAGAGGCATATTACCTAGAACACATCAGAGAAAAGTGGAGGTGGGGGACAGGAAAGGTTTCTTTGTACAATGCCTATTCATCTCATATTTGCTGGGCTTGATATCCCCAGAAGCGTCAACTTTGTCTAAGAATGTAATCTGGCTACCACGCATTTTTAAAAAGGGCTGTGCAATTTACTTTTTTTTTTTTTTAAATCTAAAGTTAGAAGCGCTTAACGCAGACATACACAGAGGATAGGACTTTAACCGATATCCGATATGCTTCATAAAGTATTACTATTTTTGGAAAGCTCCAATTCTGAGAAATAGAATAAAAATATTTTTATTGATTTCTAGTGATATTCAGTGGGAAATAAAAAGATTGAAGTTCAAGCTTTGAAGCTGAAGCAGTGATTCTGAGTTTCGTGGAGGAAAAGTAGACTATTTTACAAACCTTTAAATTGGAGTCTCAAATCTAATATTACACTTTAAGCTATCTATTGAATGAAATTGAATTGAATTAAACTGAATGGGGGAAAAAAACCCCTAAAACGTCAGTGTGAACTTTCCTTATGAATAAATGCTATATTAAACACTCAAAATGTCCTAACATTCTTTGAAAAGCACATTTTGGGATTTCACTGGGAGGTCTATGAAATGCACATATGATGAACTGTGGAATTGTGTTTCTGGAGCACAAGAAAACTATTTGTGACCTGCAGTATTTCATGAAGGGTTTGTTCTTTTGTTGAAAGTAAGCAAGCAAGGGAGAGGTTTAAAGGTTTTATCATGTCCTGCTTCATCACACTGATCCTTACTTGCATGCTCAATGGACTTGGAACTGTAAATCCAACTCTTCACTCTTTCATATCTTGCAGATGAAAAACACATTAAGTGAGAACCACTGCATAGATCAAGGACCAGTTCCTGGGAACACTCCCATCATGTACAATTGCCATGGATATAGTCCGCAGGTAAGTCACCAATACATTCTCTCTGGTCTGAGTCTGCTAAACAGTGGAGAAAATAACAATTTCATCTTTGGTTGACACTTCAACCAAAGACACTTCTTTCTTTCTTAAATGACCGAAGACTCTTGGGGCAGATTTCAGGGCCCGATTCGTTACTCCTAGGTACGTTGCTTTGAAGACCTCATGAAAGGGATCTCTGTACAATGTCACTGTGCTTTGGAACAGAAGGTGAACGCTTTCCTGTTGTTTCAGGAGTCCTCTGGGGAACGGTTGGCGGAGGGTTACTTGCTAATGACCAAAATGTCCTGCATCACTGCAGCATCTTCTCCCTTCCAGTTCCCTTGTTCAGAGGCAATGAATATTGCAAATGAAGCAAATGATCGAGCGATTCCTCTAAAACATAGCCTGTGTTGAATTACAAATATTTAGGATATTACATAGGTAGAAATTTGTTTTAAAGAACAATCCATAAGATTGCTTACATCAATTAAATTAGTGTAATTATTTTATATATAAGTGCAATTAATAATCATAGTTAATTGTAATTAATTAGTACAATTAATTGCACTTTAGTGCAATTGAAGTTAAATAACAACACAGCCTCATGAAGACAGCAGTAAAAGTATATATGACCAGAGTCCGGCAGCCATCGCTTCCTCTGAAATAAGTTGCATGGCTGTTGTGGCCAAGAAGGTGGATCTTAGAAGGGAAGGCCACTGACAAGGCATTGCAGTGTGAAGGTGGCCAGGGTTTTCTTGCCTAGGAGCTTGCAAAGCAACCGGAGTTGCAAATAGCTCTGGGGAACACCGCTGCCACCTAGGACTCAGGTCCACTCCAGGATAGCTTCCAGTTTGGGGCAGGGGACTATGCAAATAACCTTGTACAGTAGGTGTGTCCACCAGTGTATCCTGACACTCAAAGCATGCTTTCCTCCTGGGCTGGAGGGAAAAGCCAGGTCTTAGTTGCTCTCCTGAAACCCAGGAGGGAAGAAGCAGGGCAGATGTCTAGGGAGGGAGGGAACTCCAAATGCCCATTGCCTGGCTCCTGTCAGATGGCACTCTCGGGGAAACAGGAACTGGAGAGAGTTGAACCTGTGGCGACTGAGAAGAAGGCCAGATGAATACGAACAAAGGCAGTTCCTAGATAACCTAATTGCCATCTAGGGCACAGGCGGGCAGTCCTTTTTAGCTGGGGGAACTGCATCTCCTATGAGGCACAGGAAGCCCTTGGGTGTTGCAATAATGCCTTCAGATGGGATTACCTCCCCCACCCTGCCAATATTTGGCCTTCTTTCAGGTGATTTTTGGGGTTCAGGGAGCTTTTAAAGGTGAAAATGGGAAACATCCCTCAGGTATTGCACTCCCATTCCTACCCTGGTTTTGCAATCCATATCTGAAATCACACCCCTGAAAATTAGCCATTTTGGTGGCTTGATGCCAGTGTGCTTTGTGGGCCATAAATGGAGTGGGTGGAGGTTTCATGGTCCTGAACTTGTATATGGCTAAGCCCAGGCCCTGGTTTGATAACCAGGTGCTCTTCAGAATTTGATGAAAAGGAAAAATAGAACTCCTATTATTGATATTTGCTGTAGCACAATACAGATGAAAACTATACCCAATTATTTTCAGCACATGTTCTATCATAGCACTGGAGAGCTCTTTGTGGGAGGTTTACGATCTCGGCGCAACACAGTTGATAGATGCTTGACAGACTCTGGAAAAGGACAGCTGCCAGTTATAGAGCAATGTGATGAAGCCACGAGAAAAGAACAGAATATGCACTGGGATTTCATACAGGTAAGCTTTTAATTTAATACTCTATGAATACAAGGCACCTCAGAATAAAGAAGTAAGCCCTTGATTTGTCATGTGTGTCTCCAGTTCTTGCATGGCTTAAGAAGACCTTATGTTCTTAGGGCATTCACAGCAGACATGTTAAAATGGCCCATTCTGTTTTGCAGTCTGTATGAGCAGAAAAGTCTTCTGATCCACTGGGTTTTTGAAAAAGAGATCCATGTCATGCAGGGAGGGTAATGAGGAGCTGAGGGGTCAGTGTCTGAGAGGCCAGGTGTAGGGAAGCCAGAAGCCTTAGGATATGATGGATGGGAGAGATTTGGCCATCCTGAAGTTGGGGTTCAAGGGGAAGAGGCTGAGGACAACCCGGTCAGTAATGAAAAAGTGCAGTGGGCAGGGAGGGAGGAGTGGTTCTCTGGGGAGGGGCTGGTGGGAGATCTTAAGCAACTGCAGATGGCTGAGAACAGGAGAGGAAGCACAGGCGGGTGTGTTGGGGTGGGGAGAGCAGGTTTTTCAGATCTCCCTCTCTCACAAACAATATGGGCTTTGAGTATGCTCTGCCAGAGAAAGTAGGAAGCTTGTGGATTTTGCCCAGTAGTTGCTTGTGCCTAATGGAATCCATTTCAATACAGCCTCAAATCTGCTCTCATAGAAATATACAGCCGATTCCTCAGTCAGAGGCCCTGGAAGTGCCTGGATCAGTGATGCTTATGTTGCCCCTGCAACTTCTAAATAATGAATCTGTTGCTGTGGTGGAAGTTCCAAAACATCAGCAAATAAATCAATATATACATAATATTACGGGAGACAAAAATCTGCTCTTCAGGGCATCTTGTATGCTGCATATACTCCCTAGCCGGTGGGATGCAAGCAGCACTGGCTTGCAAGGTGGGGTCTAGATCCCTCACTTGCACAGAAGAGCATGAGCATCCTTGGGGTGAAGCTGAGCCTTCATTGCACTTGTGGTGTACTGGCCAAAATGTGTCCAAACAAACTGGTACTGATTTCCTTACTGTGGGCAGGGAAGCTGGATGGGGCCCATGGGGTACTAATTCTGGTGAGCCACACTAGACCTTATCTATCTTCCTGACAGTAAGAGCGCACAGCAGTCTGCCTGGAGCAGAGGAGGACCCCCTCCTGGAGGTTTTCAAACAAGGGCTGGAGGGTCACCTGTCAGAGATGGTGGAGTGTTGACCAGAGTGGACAGGAGGATTAGGTGACCCGCCAAGGTTCCTTCCAACTCATCCTTTCTATAAGAATGGGCACCCCTCTCTCACCCATACTGAGGGCAGTAGCAAAAATGCTTCTCTATCACTAAGCTTTTGATTGTTAACTGCACTCATTATATTGTACTGGTAATTGTAATTGCATTTATGTTATACTTTATAGTTTAATTGTTTACATAGCTCTACATAGTTACAAGCTATCTGAAGTGTTCACACAAAGTAAAGACGGTATACATTCAATAATAAATAAAATGTATTGTTACAGGCACTGAATTCAATGATGTTCCTATAATTTTATTAATATTACTGTTGTTTTTATTCTAGGGATCATCTATAATCAACAGGAAAACCAAAAGGTGTCTTGAAATTGTGAAATATCATGGATCTCCCTATTATACTCTAGTTATGCAAAACTGCACAGGTCAAAAATGGTTTATTCAACATATTGTGAAGCAATGGGGACAGCAGGAAAAGGGGGGTGGGTAAATCAGCTCAAAAGGAGGCTGCAGCGTGGCAGAAACTAATGGGAATCGTCTGGCATTTCTCAGTCGGGAATACATTAGAAGATTGTTACCTTACTTTTGATTCTGGTGTGTGATTAGCTTTTCAACTGTGTGTGTTGTATATATTGCAGCCTTAAGAATGCACCTGCTGCCACAGAGTCTGGGGGATCAGGAGCATTTTAACAGGGGTGGGAAGACGTACTAAAGAGGGAATGATATATATTCACTCATGAGGTGCAGTAATGGCCACCAGCCTTGGTGGCTTTAGATGGAAGCCCCTCCCATGGTGGAGCTGTGTGGAGCCCTTTCTTTTTCATTCTTCTGCTGATCATCGGAGGAGGACGGTCCTCCCCCCTCACTCAGAAGGTCCTGGAGGTCCATCTTCCCCAAAATGGCACAAGCTGGAGGAATACTTTCAGTGGTCATGGCTGAATGAACTTTTGTGGTTGTGAATGAACTGAGAAATCTGGAGGAGAGACGCCTTTTGTTCTGCATTCATGCAGCAGAATCAACCCAGAACACAAGGCTGCTGGATCCAGGCCTCCTGCTCCTGCTGCCTGGGTGCTGAGTGCAGGTCCTGCTCTGCCACCATCACCTGTTCTTGAGTAGGGAAGGGCCCTTTCCCCTGGGCTCCCAGGACAGGGCTTTTGAAGGAAGGCTCCACTTTGCCCTTTTAACTGGGGCTACCAGTTCTAAGCTGTTCCAGAGTGGAGTGCCAGGAGTAATGAGGAATAAAGGATTTTAAGAAATGCAACAAAAAAGGCAGGGGAATAGGATAATTGCACTGAGCCATACTAGTGCTGGTCATGAGTAACCTGAGAACAGAAGAGCAAAAGAAGGTAGGTGGATAGAAAAATAGGTGCAAAGATAAAGCCACATAACAGAGCAAAGCAGTACGAAAAGAAACTTGGGGGCTGTGCGGAATCAGAGGGGGAGGAAGCGTCTGCGACTCAGTTCTGCCAAGACTGAGTGGTTGTGGGTGTTTGGGTCGCCTGGGACTGGGGATATTCCATCACTGACCTTGGATAGGGTGGCACTTCCACATTCAAGGGTGCTGAACAACTTGGGGTCTTCCTGGACTCTCAGTTCCTGCTCAATGAGCACATGGCAGCTGTGGCCAGGAAGGCTTTTGCCCAGCTTCATCTGGTGCACCAGTTGCGCCCTTTCCTAGATCGGTGGGGGGGAGGAGGGCTTCAGACAGTCACTCAAGCCCTGGTCAACTCATGGATTGACTACTGCAATGCACTGTACATGGGGCTGCCCACGAAGACTGACTCGGAAGCTTCAGCTGGTCGAGAATGCAGCGGCGCGAGCACTGATGGGCATGCCTCAGTAAGCCCACGTAACTCCTCCGCTTCATGAACTGCACTGGATGCCAGTTTGCTTCACACACCTTGGCCAGATATACACATAAATGGTGCTTTGATGATGCTCTCCTCACCCTTTAGCCCTACATATCCATATATGGTGCTTTGATGATGCGCTCCACACACCTTGGCCCTAATTACACATATATGGAGCTTTGATGATGCTCTCCTCACTCTTTGGCCCTACATATCCATATATGGTGCTTTGATGATGCGCTCCACACACCTTGGCCCTTTATACCTATATATGTTGCTTTGATGATGCTCTCCACACACCTTGGCCCTTTATACCCATATATAGTGCTTTGATGATGCTCTCCACACCCTTTGGCCCTATATACACATATATGGTGCTTTGATGATGATCTCCACACACCTTGGCCTTTATACCCATATATAGTGCTTTGATGATGCTTTCCCCACCCTTTGGCCCTACATATCCATATATGGTGCTTTGATGATGCTCTCCACACACCTTGGCCCTTTATACCCATATATAGTGCTTTGATGATGCTCTCCACACCCACTGGCTTATATATCCATATATGGTGGTTTGATGATGCTCTCCACCCACCTTGGCCCTATATACACATATATTGTGTGTGATGATGCTCTTCCCACCCTTTGGCCCTATATACCTATATATGGTGCTTTGTTGGTGCTCTCCCCACCAATTGGCCCTATATACCCATATATGGTACTCTGATGATTCTCTCCACACCCATTGGCCGTATATTCCCATACATGTTGCTTTGATGATGCTCTCTACACACCGTGGCCCTATATACCCATATATGGTGGTTTGATGATGCTCACCTCACCCTTTGGCCTCTATATATCCATATATGGTGCTTTGTTGATGCGCTCCACACACCTTGGCCCTATATACCCATATATGGTGCTTTGAGGATGCTCTCCTCACCCTTTGGCCCTACATATCCATATATGGTGCTTTGTTGATGCGCTCCACACACCTTGGCCCTATATACCCATATATGGTGCTTTGAGGATGCTCTCCTCACCCTTTGGCCCTACATATCCATATATGGTGCTTTGTTGATGCGCTCCACACACCTTGGCCCTATATACCCATATATGGTGCTTTGAGGATGCTCTCCTCACCCTTTGGCCCTACATATCCATATATGGTGCTTTGATGACTCTCCACACCGCTTGGCCCTATATTCCTATACAGGGTGCTTTGATGATGCTCTCCACACACCATAGCCCTTTATTCCCATATATGGTGCTTTGATGATGCTCTCCCCACCCTTTGGCCTATATATCCATATATCGTGGTTTGATGATGCTCTCCACACACCTAGGCTTTTTATACCCATATATAGTGCTTTGATGATGCTCTCCCCACCCTTTGGCCCTATATACCCATATATGGTGCTTTGATGACGATCTCCGCACACCTAAGCTTTTTAGAGCCATATATATTGCTTTGATGATGATCTCCCCACCCTTTGGCCCTATATACCCATATATGGTGCTTTGATGACGATCTCCGCACACCTAAGCTTTTTAGAGCCATATATATTGCTTTGATGATGATCTCCCCACCCTTTGGCCCTATATACCCATATATGGTGCTTTGATGACGATCTCCGCACACCTAAGCTTTTTAGAGCCATA